GTTTGCCACAATAACACTAGAAACATGCACGATGCGTTTTTGCTTTACTCATCAATCGGCGCTGCGATTTGCACACAGCAGAGTCCACCACAATGACCCGCGTCACATCAGCTCATCTGAATGCGACGGATTGTGGACATGCAACAGACGAAACCCTCAGCAAATCAACTGTGCCATGTGTGACCAACAATCAATAAATGCACTGCCCATTCCACTCGACGTATATACACGAACAAGGTCGCCTGCCAGACGACTGTCCACACACCACCCACCAAACAACATCACTTTCGAGGCCAATCGAGAAGTCTCGTCGTCAATACAAACTTAAAACAGCAGAAGTAACAGGCAAACTGATTACAGTAAAGTTTGAAGGCGTCGTACCTACCCACTATCTGAACTGCAGTACCCACAACAATCTGCGCTCCATGATTCGTCAACACTTTTGGACATCTCACCGACGTCATTCTTTCCACCCCAACACGGCGCACACTTGATTGACAGGTACTCGGCCAGTGCACTTGCCACCTGCAATACAAGACACTACACTCAACAATCACGCATTACAATAGTCCACACATTGTCAAAACAGACAATGTAGGTGTCACAAGACCTAAACTGTACATTTTGACACTGATTAAGTACTCTTGAAAACAACGCCGGTGACTCCGTCTTTCATCAGTCTCAAGCCCACCCTACAAATACACACACTTTTTGACAGCTAGCAGTTGCAGTAACCCACAAGTGACTTGGGCACCAAAGGCGCACATTCTGCAAACCACCAGGAAGCAATTAGCCTCAACACAATCCCAGTCAACAAGTAGGGTGTACCCTGCAGCTTGACTCGATGTCGAACGGTGCACCATCAGTAGTGGTTCCTATGCTACCGAAGACGAATTACTATTTACCACCAACAACTAGTTACACAAAATCTTCTTCCACAATCACAGTACATATTCAAATGCAAATGCTTCCTTGCAATGCCTTTGTTTCACTTACGGACAATTTTTCCACTGATATTTGGAGTCCTGCTACAACTGCACAACTCACATTCCTAGTGTAATGGACCAAACCTACCTTTTAGAACTTTATGACGCAGAATATTTACTAAACAACACATGAAACATTGCAAGTGCTCAGGTAAAAATGTGGATATACATTACATGCCGACAAACCGTTCTAATAAGCGTATTTAGGTAAAACACCGAAGGCACTTGGTAATGCTCAATCGCAGATTAGTATAAATATTTATGAGTAATAATTCAACAACATGAGGTCCTATATAAGAGCAGAAAAGCCACACGTTGTTTAAATTCATCGATTTTCTTCACGCGTCTCTGCATTCGTGACAACCTACATGGCGACATCCGTCTTGCAATCAGAACACTCCCACGGATTTGTGCCGCTGCGGTTGGAATGCTCGAATGACGACAGTATGCACACACAACCACGGAGGAGTGCCACGCTAACGCCAGGTTTGTGGACGCCGAAGGCCAATCTTCGCCAAAACAAGCCTTTGGGGTTGAATACAGCAGCAAAAGGCCTCCAACCAGGTACGTGTATTTGCGCTTTGTAAAGACCTTAAGCTGTCTTGGATGGTCATCGTGTTTGGTTAGTGAGATGATTTCAAGTTATTCCACTGTGACCTAGATGCGCCACCTTGTGTCGACATTTTGCAATCCGTCTTCCACACGATCACTCACTAATCACGTCCACCAATCATCCAGGCAACGTGGGCTAGTTGCTCCCATACACGGCACAGTACATGCTACCATCAACCAACTGACTAACTAACCAACACACTGCAAGATGCAGTGGTCTCGTTTTATCATGTCCAAATCCGCAGAACCTAAACATGATCGGAAGTTGTCCCGTTTTGAAGTGCGATTTTACCAAACTGATTCGAGTCTCGTCTAGTGTGTGCAGAAATTCACCACACAGCATTGTGAAAATGCTCTGCTTGCATTTTCAGGAAGACCATAGCTTAGCACTAAAAATCTATCTCAGCGACCCACGTTTCATCTGAGGAGTGTAACAGAACCGTCCCCACCTCTAAGTGCATACAAAATCGTGACGGTGAGCCTTTCGCAGTTTTTATCAAGACCATACCTGGTCACTGCAAGTTAACATGTGCAGGAATACATCAAGGATTTGATAACAATTTCAAGGTTACAGGAGCTCACTATCCACGCATGCCATTCTAATCCTCTTTTTACGCATTCTAAGAGGATTCTGTAGTGCACTGGTTAAATCTCGTCTCATGCGCTTTGGCACTACCTCAAATAAACTTGCATCATTACGGCACTACCCTTTCTCTTTGGCACAGCGATCAACGTCACACCAAAGGACCAGCAACGCATAATTCAGAGACAAACCTGGTGGATCGAAGATGACAGTTCTCGTGTGGACGCCAGGCAGAGAACCTGTGTATGCATTTCTCTTCTGAAGCCACCCATGCGTTGCAGGGTGCCAATGCAAAACGTAACCCTTCTCCCCGTTCCACTTTGGGCCTGAACCACCACATTTCCTTCCTGGATTATCGCAACGATGCCTCGCTGCTGACCCACCAATGGTTTCTCCACACCTGCAAGGACAAATAGAAGCGGGATTGTCATCAATGCCCCACTGTGGAAATTACCGCTAGCGTGTGTGTGTTCGTGCAGGTACTACCACACGGTAATGACTACTCCATCCACAACGTCATCCATCAACCTCACCGCAGAGACCGAGTACACTAATTCAAGTAAGCAGCCTTTATTTATTTATGCAAACATAGGCAAACACTAACGTAAATTCACTTTTTTTACGCTTTCATTCAACGTGGGCCATTTTAGGCCACTGAAATAACATTCCCAATACATCATGCTGGTTCCCCGCCCACGGCGTCTATGCGACACTCCTCCTCATATCCTTCAGGATTGGTTTCAGCAGTCTTTGGCATTTTCGTTCGGGCTATTCTTACGATGCTATAGCGCTCAAGATTATAACGCGCATCCTTCTTCATAGGTTCCACAAGTTACTAAATTTATTCACAGATATTGCATTATAGGTGACATAGTGCAAAAGGGTATTTGCATAAACAGGAATGACAACAAAATATCGAAATGCATCAATTGACCAAACGCTATCTTGAATAAAACTCAAGTGCAAATGCCATGCAACTCTGGGTGGATTCGATACAAGTAATGGAAGGACAACAAAAGCTGCTGCAAATGTGTTAATTCGTAGAAGCTACTGCCCCAGTCTCCTCATTACCATATTAAGCAACTAAAAACCAATAGAGACGTACCATTTGTTGGCTACCCTTGAAGAGGTAGCTTTCGCAGACCCACGAGGGGTGCGAACGCGACGATAACGCCGAGCAGCAACAGCGGCGGCAGCAGCGCAAGAACACCTACGCAGCTTAAATACTGCAATTTGTCGGTCGAAAGGCTTAAACAAAATGCGCGCACAAGGTTTCTTTGCTCATTGCACAAACACTGGCGATTACATTTAGAGCTGTTTTATTTGGTTCAATCGTAGTAATTTTTCGGTGTCTGCAGAATGTGTGTTTTTCGAATGACATGCTTACTTGTTTCAATTCACAGTGATGAGTTCCGAATCAGCCGATTTTTGAAACACTTGACTGCATTGCGTTCGTATTAATTGCAAAAGGCGTTATCAGTGCGAGAAGTGGAGGAGTGAACTTTAACGAGAAGCAAATGACTGTTGAAAATCCTCAAGGCACCATGTGATACTTTGGTTCTATGCAGTGCGTCGGTGCCAAGTACACTCTTCCTCTACCGTTGTTGCAGTTTATTTGAAATTCTACAGCCCAATAACCGACCCCATTTTCGGTTGCACTGACAGTTTATCACTCACAGTGTGTCTAATTCAATGCTTTTTCAAATTACCTTTGTAGGTTTGTACAAGCGCTACAGCGTTAGAATAACCAACATAAATTGGGTGCTCAAATCTGCCTCCGTTAATCGCCGTTTGCCGTTGTGCGAACTTTATGTTATGTAACCTGTTGATTGACTGACTGACTGATTTGGTACTATACTCGGGATCTGTCTTTGCTCTTCAGAAATGGTTAACGAGGAAATATATCTATATATACATCCATACAAACAGCCTTGCTTTAGATACTCATTTTCCATTAAAAATGACGATATTGGTTTGAGGGAATGTTCAAAGATAGTTTTGACTTAAACAGCTTGAATTCGCGATAGTACTGCCTCAATGCGGCTGAAGAACGGATGAATATGGACAAAGCAGGGCCGCTGGACAGAAAATGTACGTTCATTGATGCACACATGTACTCTAATGAAGTGGCAAATCGTCGCACATTTCAGCATTAGTTCATGAGTGACTGAAAAACGTACATTCTGATAAATGAAAAGAAACGGCTTTTGTTCCTAGGTTCATGTCCCTCTGTTTGATCATTAACGGCTTGTGGCGAACACTTTTCCCTAATGCTGACTAGGAATGCATTCTCATTGTGGAAATGCGCAGCGTTCTAGATATATATTTGAGGCCTCATAGGTTGTTTTGAGCTTAAATGTCAGCTGTTAGCGAAACATGAGTGTTATGGACAACAGCCAGGTGGGGGTACAATCTGAACTTTAGGAAATACTAAGTGTCAGTAAATAGTGCTTGCCAATATGCGATGCCATGATAACCAACCTAAGAAGAGCATGAATATATGGCTATGAATTGACATGAAAGCTGAAATACCATATTTTCCTAACTGTGGGATGAATGAGTCATAATGTAGGTTAATTCATGTAATTGCAAATTAGTATTCATTAACAGGTTTTTTTAAATTAAAAAATAGACCCAAAATATTAGGCTGTTTATGTGTGCACATCTATATTGCACTAATTCAGGAAACTTGACGAATCATCAATCGTAGGACAATGTCACTGATTGCTCCAATGAGACGCTTTGATGCAATTTTTGTTGGTGACGAACAAGTTATGGAAGGGAGTTTGCCTAGTTTGTGGTATCTGGCCGCATATTAGTCTATTTGTATCAGCCAGCATTCTTACGTTGTCATTTCCGATATTTAACCACATGATGTCGCATATTTATGTATTCCTGCGGAGGATTGCCAAACTTTTACTGCTGCCTGGACAAATGTATCATGATGCCGACGATTCGTAGGTGAGGCATCTGTAGTTTCTGCACGCTCTCACAATGTTGAATGAACATGCGCTAGCTTGATGATGATGTCCCTTCAAACAAACCTGCGACTGTGATATGGACGAGACTGAACGAATGCATTCCCGCAACATTGTTGTTTCGCAACTGGAATCAATATGCAAGCGAGCAGATTGCAATTGTTTTGCGAAGCTCAGGCGCACTCGACGTAGGGTCCGGGATCGAAAGCTGGCGTCACCTTTGAGCATGAACACGCAGGCTTCCTGAATTCCGTCGTGAGGGGGAAAGTCTGCATACTAACATTGACTTGCAAACGCGTTACCGCAACAGAATCGCGTTGTGCTAAATATAGCTCTATTCATGTGCAGTGTTTGTCTGAAATCTGCTTAGGATTCATTACTGCGAACAAGGTCTCTCGACATATACTTGTCTGGAAACCACTTTCAAATATAATTGAATCAAGCGGTCAAAACATGCGTAGCACACTGTTCCTATATATCGTCGGGGTTTCTCTATGCAGCACTAAGCATTATGAATAGTAAATTGGATTTCCGTT